TTGATTTATGCACCGTTTACATTTCAGTCTCCAAATTTGAAATGACAAAAGAAACCACCCACGCCAGTCATCATTAAGGGTGCAGGGCAGGTCAACACACAAAACAATACGTTCTACAGTGGAGCTCTTTTATATCAGCAGCTGTGTTAGAAGAAATGGGTGAACCTTTGCTATTCAGTTCTTTGCTGTAACCAGAATGTACATTTGGAAAGAGTCACTTTTTCCTTTCTGTGACTGTAATTTTTAGGCGTCCTGTGGATTATCTTTTTAAAATCAATCCCCAGATGACGGGAGGAATTCCGTTCCAGCTACTTAGTATATAAAGGAAAGGATGTGGAGGAGGAGGAGAGGGAGGGGAGAGAAACCCGTCCAATTAAACTGGTGTGTGGAGGAAAAACTGTGAATACGTGGCATTAATCAGAGGCAAAGAAAGGGCATTGATGAAGGAGGCGGCCAAAGTGTGGGGACATGCTCGCTTTAAGTGCGGCAGAGAAGCAATTTGTAGCGACTAATACCTTGGCCATAAATCAGTGATCCACATCGATTCCAACTCCTAGCCTCCCATCTTTATTAATCAAACAGCTCTTTATGAAGCCTTTACCCCCGTCGCCTCCCCCTGCCTCACCTTTATAGGGATAACTGCATTTGCTGAACAGGCTTCCCTTTATATCTGCCACCTGCTCCTTCGTGGGTGGACAAGTGTGGGAGAAACTGGGTGGGAAAGGGCAGGGTGTAGTAGGGGTGAGATAATAATAATAAAAATAATAATAATAATCCTTGCGTTTGATATAGCGCCTTATCATGTCTTTGAGAAGTCTCAAAGCACTTCACAGATTATACTGTAAAGTGAATTGACCGTATATTTTGTGGATGATTATGTAGCCAATTGCGCACAGCAGTGTCTCATAAACAGTCGTGAATTGAGTGACCAAATGATTATTTTGGGGGTTTTGGAAGGGATTATTACAGCTGGAAAAGCGATCCGCCAATTGACTAACAACTGGGTTCCTACTTACTGCTAGGTAAACAGAGGTGTGTGGAGTAAGGAAACTTGCCCAAAGTTTTGCCCTGTCTGGGAATCAAACCTAGGTCCTCTCGCTTGCAAGACGAGTGCTTTAACCACTGAGCTACAGGACTCCAAATGGGAAAGGACAGGGTGGGGTAGGGGTGAGGTGGGGTAAGGATAATTGCTCTGAGACGCTTCCCTGCTTGAAGTGCGCTATATGAATGCAAGCTGTTCTTCTTGAGAGAGAGAGAGAGAGAGAGAGAGAGAGCAGGAGCCTCATCCACACACACACACACACCCTCCCTTCAAAATTCTGCTTCCAAAGGATGAAATTCTAATTCAAATGGAGTCTTTTTTTTCAGAAGAGGAATGATAGAAAATATATTAAAAAAGGGAGGTTCCATTAATAAAAAGATATATTGTTTGCATTTCAGCCAGTAACCATTAGAAACCTTTCCCGAATGCTATCCTCTCAACAGTCTTTCAAAATATGTTCTCTATGCAATGCAAAATTCATATTATTATGCACAACTTCATAATAAAGCTTTACATTCTTGCTTGTAAAAGCGAGTCCCCATGGGCAGTTTACTTGAAACTATCCTAACTGTACGTGTTTCCTGTAAGTTTTCATATTATATTCCCTATATTGTGTGTCTTCCATACTACAAGCAAAAGACAAACAATAATAATAATCTTTGCATTTGATATAGCGCCTTATCACACCACTGAGATGCATCAAAGCGCTTCACAGAATGTGTTACAATGCGGATTGACTGTATTTTGTGGGCAAAATACAGCAGATCTGGTAACGTTTCAAATCCTACAATATATAATTCGCACTTGGGCAAAAGAAAGTTTATATTTACTGAATTGCTTCGCTTCACTGGGTCTGATAAAGCGGCAAAAATGTTTAACGCAGAGAAGCTAATAAGGAACCTACGGTTAATTGCGTTTATTTTGTGAACTGCGAACTGTGTTAAACCACTTACTCCCCGACACGATCACTGGGACTGAGTTACAATAAAAATAATCATCATCAGCTCATATGTTGCTTCCTTATCATTTCGTGTAAGATATCTCAAATTCAACATCTCAAGGATTCACTGTAAAGTATAAGGACTGGAATTGCAGGGGGTGTGTGTGGGGTGTGTGTGTGGGGGGGGGGTTGTGTGTGTGGGGTGTGTGGGGAGGGGGGGTGTGTGCGTGGGGGTGTGTGTGTCGGGGGGGGGGGGGGGGGGGGTGGGTGTGGGGTGTGTGGGGAGGGGGGGTGTGTGCGTGGGGGGGTGTGGGTGTGTGTGTGTGGGGGGGGGGGTGGGGGGGTGTGGGGTGTGTGGTGTGTGGGGGTGTGTGTGTGTGTGGGGGGGGTGTGTGTGGGGTGTGTGTGTGTGGGGGGGGGTGTGTGGGGGTGTGTGTGTGGGGGGTGTGTGGGGGGGTTGTGTGTGGGGGTGTGTGTGTGGGGGGGGGGTTGTGGGGGTGTGTGTGGTGGGGGGGGGGGGTTGTGTGTGTGTGTGTGTGGGGGGGGGGGGGGGGGGGGGCAGGCGATGATGGTATCGGTCGGGATGGGGCTGGTGACCAGGAGACCCGATCAAACATGACATTCAACTAACGGCTAAATATCGATTTGGATGAAACGAAATGAGAAGTCATCACAAATCGGGTACACAATGCAGTGAGACCCCCAGTGCTGTCCTCCTGACCTGGGAATGTCATCCGGGAATAGGACAGCCACAGGTTGAGTGGAGAGGTTGAATGTGCCCGCGTACAATACGATGTTGACGACCTTGTTCAGACAGGCGATCGGTATCAATCTTATTTTTTAAACACAGTACATGGACTACTGGGAGAATAGATGGGCGGTGGACCTTCCAGGACAGAGTGGCAGCGTGTCCTCGGGACTCTTTGAATACGTCCACCTGCACAGGGACACGGCTGTTGAATGCTGCGTTGTGAAAACCCTGGTGCAAAATCCTCGGCAGCTCTTGCTTTTTCTCGTCTTAAATGATATAATACGCTCGGCCGCAGTGGTGATGTATACTGTAAAACTGGAAGATACTCAGAGCAAGGAATCGGGTTGGTCAGACAGAACAAGGCTGGTGTGATATAAAGCAGACGTGGGAGCGAAGCCGCTCTCCACAATACAGAACCTCGCCTGTTATCTCGCAAATTGCACTTAAACCTGTCATCTGCCTGTGGACGTCCCACAGCAACCCTTTCCCCACCCCAGGAACAGTAGTAATCCTGGCTCCCAAAATCTGAGCGATTGCAGATTCAGCACACGTCAAAGTCGGTAACTAACTCAAATAAAAATGTTATATTTTTATATTTTCTTTAAAAAAAAAAGTTCTTTTCTGGTTATAAGAACACTGTGCGTTTCTCGTAAATCGTTTGGATTCTGTCCTATTTGCTATCCTTTTGCCACAATTTTGATCCATCCTCAATTGGTCACGGTACTGAAGTCCTATTCAAACGGTGTGAAGAAAATCCAAGTCCTGGCTGTGTAAAGCAGGTCAGTTAATGGACTGGTGAAGGGCTGATTCCATACTCGTTTTTTTCCTACACAAATCATTAGAAGTGAACAAAGCCCTTGGATGGGCACAGCGGGAAAGGAGTCCCTGGATTTGCTCATTACGGACCGGCCACAGGGAATTAGCACTCAAGCAAGAAACCTGACAACCCAATTTACTGTCTTATCTCTAAGAAGGCAAAGGGACCCGGTGGATTCGTTTAACATGTAAAATATGCAGTATTTCCAGTCGCATTATCTTATGTATGCATTGTACGGGGTGAAAATGCCTGGTTTCAGATTGTAGTATTTTATCTGGGTTTAACGTTTCAAGTTCTGCTATCTTTTGAAATGACAAGCTTACTTGATTTCTAAGAAACTTGTTCTTTTAAAGCGAAAATCGTAATATTCTTGAGTGTCCCAGTTGAAACCTTGTTTTTTTTCTCCCCAAAAATGTGCATTGGAATTTGCAATTAAGCTAAAAGATTGAAGCGATTCTAGGATTTTTCTGGGTTGGGGGGTTGGTGGGGGGGGGGGGAGAGGCTTGGTATCAATTGATTCAAATAAAGTAGAAGGCATCCTTCAAAATAATTTGTTTGAAACCTTTCACGGTCGTGGAGAAAATCGTGCACGACACTGCCGATACAGGGCAGCTTCACAGCCAAATGCAGTTTTGAAAACAAGGACCAGTCGAATACTGAGCGGACTGCCCCTGAGGAGCAAGACAACTTGCTTTAAAGCAAATAAACACAGGCTAAGAGTCTGCAGTCTGACTCCCAGGCAGTGCTAATTCCCTCGCCCCCATCTCCTGCGGCATCCTTCACCCTCTTTCAACGACTGCAACACAAAAAAAAACCCAAAGAAAAATATTCCCCCAAATGGTCACTCAAAGCGTGATAATACAATCTCTGTCACAACACAACCTGTAATCGCACGATGAGGTTTATGAAAAATAGAGGTATTTTAGTGTACATTAATTCGCAAAACATCACTTAACGTTTCAAAACTTCCGTTCGTAAAATGTGGTACAGGTGGCTTTTCCCCCCCACAAGTGATTCACTGGGTGAATGTTGCAATCAACATCGTTATTAATCTTTTTTTAAAAGAAGTTGTGAATCGCTAGTTCTTGGAGATCCCTTTCTAATGCTGATGTAAAGCCAAAACAGATGATTGTCTAATGGAAACGAAAATAAATATTTAATCTGAAATAGATTGGTTTGCAGAGCCTGTCATTCCATTCATACTGAGAGGTCTGGAAATTGTTGAAGACTGTGTATGGTTAGCAACGATTCGCATTGAACATCTGAAAGATATAAACACAACACAACTTGCCACAGGCACGTTCGAACACCTCCTAATCTTAATTTCTGAAAATGTCACCGTGTGTATTAAAATAACCATTCAATAAATCAGTGCAAGGACAGGACAGTTGGGGAATTGCTGAATGAACAGAACGCTGAAGAACTAACTCATCCTTTTGCCGTCACTTACTTTGAGAATGTTGGAGTGTTGCAATCGTTGTAAAAGTGTCATTTCTTTGACAAGTTTGTAGGACGCCAGTCTGTAGCAGTCCTCCAGTGTCCCGTACTGTTTGGCACAGTTTTCCATGTCGTGTCCTCCAAAATCTACCGATTTCAACGCTACCGCCAATGTTTCGTTCAGGACGGCTCTGTACACGGCTTTGGTGTAGCCGGAGCCCAAGTAATGGACGTTGCTCGCGTTATTGATATCTTGACAGCTCAGAGACAGCGACTGGAGCCGAAAGTTGTTCTCTGGCGTGTTGGAGAGTAACTTGTTTTCACCGTCTCCGGCCATCGGCGCGTCGCCCTGAGAGCCGGGGCTCGGGGGCTGGTGTTGCTGCTGCGGCTGCTGCTGATGTTGGGGCTGCGCCTGCAGTGGGTCGGGGAAGCTGTGCTGTGTCAGGTCCATCAGGCGCCTCTCCAACGGTCTGGTCAGCCTCCCCGCTGCCGCCGAGGAGACCGGCAGCTCCCGGTAGCGGACAACCTCCTCGTACCTCTCTTGGATCTGCCTCAGCAGGTCCCGTTTGGTCACCCGGTTGAAAAGTAACGACGGTGCAATCTGCTGCTGCTGCTGCTCCACTCGCTCCTCAGCCCCTTGATGCTGCTGTTGCTGCTGCTGCTGCTGCTGGTGGTGGTGGTGGTGGTGGTGATGATGATGATCGAAGCCGGGGATACATAATAAATTCAGCAAAGTCCCCAGGAAGAATGAAAAGCAAAGCCCAGCAGCGATGGCAATCTTCCTGCGCTTCATCTCGTTGTGCAGCAGTGGCTGAGCAGCACTGCAGACAGAGCGCAGCAGTGGATGGCGAGTGGTTGGGAATGAAGTTTTCACATTGTATTTACGAGCTACAGTAAATCTCTGCCCCGCAGGGAAGATAACACTTGGGGGGGATTTTTTTTTCTCTCTCTCTCCTTATGTATTCTTCACATTGGCTGCTTGTTCAACCACTACTTCCCCCTTTCTCTCTCTCTCACAACACCCCCCCCCCCCCTTCTCTCTCTCTCTCTCTCTCCTCCATCATCAGCAAAGCAGCGGCGTGACGCGCTGTGATTGACAGCGGAGTGAAAGAGAGTGGGGGGGGGGCGGGGGCTGCTGGCGCGCAGCATGACGGGGGTTGTAGTCTCTCGCTCGGCGTTTGCCGCGGGACACCAGACCCAGCACCGCACGTCCCAGAGAGCAGCGCGGCTCCAGCCTCAGCGCTTGCAACAATGGGAAGCTTCGGGGCGGCGCCGGAGCAGCCAGTGAGGGGCGGGGCGGGGCCAGGGCGCGGCGGTGGTTGGCTGGTAGCCACGTCAATCATTGCCGGGACCAACCCTCCCTCCCCACCGCTGGCCGTGGTCGCCTCGTGACCAATCTGAGAGCAAATACTGGCGACCCCGAGCCGCCGGGGGTGGGCGGGGGGTCTGGGCAGCTCCGGCGTGAGTGGGCAATGACACGGTTATCCATCAAGTGCACATTACGGCGCTGTTAGCGACTCATTAACAAATGCAATCGTGCTTCAAACTGAGGGAGAGGGGGGGGAGAGGTGCACCGCGTAAAGCGCCAACAAAGAGGGTTGATTTAAGGCACAGACTTCTTTTGATAGTCAATGAATGGCTTCAAATAAATAAATAAATAAATAAGCACAGAACGTGTGCGCGCACTCCCCCCTCCGCGACACTCCTCTGGATATTTTTTTTTAAAAAAAAATGCATTCAGGTTAGAGTTTGGGGTTTCTTTTTTTTTTTCGCGTTTCCATAACTTTCGGATCGTTCAGTGTTACGGTTTCTCACCGGATCGGGTCGGGTCGGATCCGAATAATTTTGCTCCTCTCGGCAAACGTGCTGTGTTTTTTTCTGAGTGTGCGCTGTGTTTATTTTTCAGGGATCCCACCCCCCTGGGGGGCGAGTGGCGACCCCCCCCCTCCCCCTCCCCCCTCCCTGTCCGCTTCGCCTTCTCACCCACTTCCCCACTGCAACGCAGACCGTGCGTTGGTTCGTGGGGGGTTTTTTTGTTGGGGGGGAAAAAAAATACTTGTGCGTAAAGCAAAAGGTATTGGTGGCTTTACTCATCCGATAGTTATTTTCCCCCAAACTTAACGATGTTTGCAATAAAAAGACGATAAAACGTACCTCCCGCTGAATGGGTTCAACTCGTGCAAAAGAGGCGTCGTATTATATTGGGTTTAAGTTAAAATCAACGCTTACCATCAAGAAATCGCGTACTGAAGATTAATAACCCGACCATCCGGACCGCTTATTGCAAGAGTCGAACAGCTACAAAAATTGTGATGGGCGTGAAAAAAAAACCGTTCACTTGTACCGACCTTATCTACGAGGTAGTTACCCTTTTCTGTTTCAAAACAAAACTTAGTTCAGTTAAGATTAACATCGTGATGGTCTTGAATGAACTGAGTCACTAACCCAGAATATAATAATCTTTGCATTTGATATAACATCTTATCACATGTTAAAATGTCCGGGGGGTGGGGGGAGCCGACGCCTCTCTATTTACTATAAAGTGCAATAATTGTGCATTTGTAAGCTAAGGCCTCAGCCAATTTAAGCACAGCACTATCCCACCAACAACTGTGAATTGAATGATCATTTTTATCTGCGGAATTGTTGGCCAGAATACCAGGAGAATCTCCTTTCTCCTTTTTAGACTAAATCCTTGGGATCCTTAAAGTTCACCGGAACAGGCAGTGGCAGAACTATACAGATATACATACCAAGGCACTCTTATTCCTCTGCCTCTCCACTAATGATAATTCAACATCTTCACAGCACTCCATTTCATTGGTTTTATAAGGGGTCCTGATGGTGAAATGCGCTCTTTAACTAGCTCTAAATAAGGTTAATATGATAATAGTAATAATAATAATAATCCTTGCATTTGATATAGCGCTTTTCACGTCGGGAGGACGTCCCAAAGCGCTTCACAGAACACACTGTAAAGTGAATTGACTGTATATTTGTGGGCGAACGCGGCAGCCAATTGCGCACAGCAATGTCCCACGAACAGTCGTAGATTGAAAATGACCAATTTAATTATTGTTTTTGGTTTTGGAGGGATTATTATTAGGCGTGTGGAGTAAGGAAACTTGCCCAAGGTTTCGCTCTGCCTGGAATTGAACTCAGGTCTCTCACTTGCAAAGTGAGTGCTCTAACCACTGAGCTACAGGACTCCAAGTCCTAAGTATGATATACTTAGGGTGTACTTATAAACCCCTTCTCTAGTGAAATAAGACAGTTTGAGTGTTCTCTTCATTGTCATCATCTTATGGCTCCTCTCCCATCCACTCACACTTTAATTTTAGGCTGTGACCTATTTAAAAACACACAGCACCACACACTACATTTAGCGCAGTTGCTTCCTATCTGTTAACAGTGCTGGTAAGAGCCGTGCTGATTAAAGCAGCCAACGTTGTACAGTGCAAGCACTGTATTTGGATTTTAAGTGTAATTAACCCCTCAGTTCTCAGTGGTTTGTCCCGCTGCTTTAAAGCAATCGCTTTGCATTATTTCCCTGCTTATTTTTAGAGTTGAGTGCTTGCCATACAAGCTGTAGTTAGTACAGAGGGCAGGAGTCAGCAGCAATGACACATTTTGGACTCTGTAAGGTGAGAAGTGGCCCTGTCCAATTAAGAAATGCGCCATCTACTGTTTCACGCTTCTGAAACTGGAGAGGCTAGCATTCCGGGAATGGGTGGCCTGGAGGACCCAAAGCAATAAATTCAGCTAATTTCAAAGAGAGACAGCATTCCCACTGTTCACTTACTCAGACTACATGTCAAGCGTGTTGGACAGATCGTGTTTGACAATGTACTCCTTTTCCACCTTATAAACGTACTTTTGTGTCTATTAAGCAACAATCTGTATCAAACACAATAATTACTATTTACTTCCAGATCATCATCCTTTTGGCTGAGTGATTAATTGGGCTTATGTCTGCCTTGTGATTCAGATGAATAATAATAATAATAGGAACACTAATCCTTGCATTTAATGTGCCTCATTACATCGAGACATCTCAAGCGCTTCACAAGATATTGTAAAGTGGATTGACTGTAATTTGTGGGCAAAACATGGCAGCCAATTGCCTACAGCAGTGTCCTCTCAAACAGTCATGGATTGAGTAACTACATTCGTTTTGTTGAACCTCCTTTCCTCTCTCCTTTCTCCCCCAATTTCAAAACCACGTGGAATCATTTCAGACTATTCTACATTATATTCATTTTTTCAAAATTTATATTAATTGGTTTCTCATCTCTTTGTTGTTTAAAGGATATTGCTAGTGCAAATGAGCTGCCACTTTGACCCGTATAACAACATTCACTTCATGAAACGCAAAATACTGCAGATGCTGGAAATCTGAAACGAAAACAGAAGTCGCTGGGAACACTCAGCAAGTCAGGCAGCATCTATGGAGAAGATTAACATTCACTTCATTCCCAATTAATCTCATTCATTAAAACGTTCTTCCAGACTTTGTTAATTTGAAAGTAAATTTGAGTGCAAGTTACCGCATTGACAATACTTACATCCTGTACTGCGGTGCAATATAAAGTGTAGTATGATGTGAAACGCATTCTGTTCTATTGTTTGTATGAAATTTTGGGTCGCAATGGAAAATGTTCATACATACTCTAATCAACCTATTATTAGCAGTAAACCTGTTTTGCAGGCAAGTGTGACATTAGAATGAAAGAGCGCATTTGAAGTTGCAGTGTAAACTGCAGAATAGAGAGCGCCGCCACTTTTGCATTACTGTACAGCGTTAGTTACCAACGCTCAAGTCTTCCTTCCAACGGATCGACTGGAGACAAATCAGTGAAATTGCTGCTCGTCTCCTTCTCGGGAAGGTCAGGATCCGGTCTGTCCACGTTAATAACAAGATACACAGTCACGTTAATGGACTAGTTAGATAACACCTTCCCATCGGGGGCAAAACGGCAGTAAATATTGTGATACTAACACCCCGGCCCTTGGATATTACCTTTTTTTATATAAACTGCACAACAAGTGCTCTCAAACAGAATCGCCACTCTGACTCCGATTCGCAACCCACAAGCAGCCGATCTGCTTTCGGGGGGAGAGGAGGGGGGGGTTATTTCACACCTTCCTGTGTCATTTTTTTGGTGCGGGAAAGAAAGGGCGATCTGGTTGCTAATTGCGATGCAGTGTGCTGTGGCGGGGCTGCCAGGGGGAAAGGGAGAAGGCCGGGAGGTGTGAAGAGCATTTCCATGCTAATGGAGGTGAACAAGGCGCACACACAGACTCGGGGAGACAAGAGGAGGTTTATCGCTGTCGATTCAGTTTCTCGTTCTCAGGGCGTTGCATCTTTGCATTTTGCAATAGTCATCTCAGTGAAAGTTTCCGTCTCGCTCCCCCTATGATCGAATTACAATAAATGCCATTTGTGTACATCATTGCGGACGCTTATTTCAGCAATCACCTTCCCACAGCACATCACACCACACAGGGAGCAACGATTTCCTAAGGTATTTGCCTTTAGACTTTGTGTACACTTAAAGAGCGCTGATAACCTCGAGTCCAAACAATAGACACATTTCTCTGATTCCCGAAAAGCTGGAAACACTAAACATTTAATAGCAATCCCCACCTTTCATGCACTACACCGTCATATCGGGTCGAAACACCCCAACACGCTTCACAGGGTTTTCCTGTAAAGTGTAGTGTGTAGTGACTGTGTATTTATAAGGCGGGTATGCACTGCCTATTAATGCACACTTAAATTCTCACAGGAACTCCCCCCCCCCCGTCATGTGTGATAAATGATAAGACACAAATTATTCCATCTGGATCAGTGTGTAATGTGTTTTGGGGGTTACTCAATGTGTTTGATGTCCGTGTGACATTTTCATTTTGAAAAGTCAGAGA